GGAGGAGGAGGAGGAGGAGGAGGAGGAGGAGGAAAGAAAGAGAAGGAAGGAAGGAAGGAAGGAAGGAAGGAAGGAAGGAAGGAAGGAAGGAAGGAAGGAAGGAAGGAAGGAAGGAAGGAAAAAGGAAGAAAGAAAAGAAACCATGACCTTAAAACAGAGGAGAACGTCATTGTGACAAGACCTGAAGATTACCTAAGTCTATTATCTCACACCCAGGAGATCTTTCATTAAATGATTAGCCTCACTGCACATTCACCTCCCCATGCATGCTCGCACGCCAACATCTTCCACTCCAGTGCTTGTGGATAGTCAAAGGTCACCAAGCCTGTGACGAAAGCCTTGATGAACTAGCAGATGGGAGGAAGAGAACAGACCAAGGAAATAGGCAGCAAAGGAAACGGGTAGAAATCGTTAATGTCTAGTCTCGGGGAAGCTGGACAATGCCATGTGTTAGTACCGAGCAGGACGCCGGAAAGAAGCACGAAAGAAAAGCACCGTTGTGATGGTGATGTGGAGTGTGCACTTGGCCCAAAATCCAAACTTCCAATCACTGAATTGGTCCATCTCCGAAGCTGCCACAGCCACTGGACAGAAAGGAGTCCTGAGGGGACCCCGCGACACCTCAGCGCAGGTCAAACTGGATGAGCTTCTTCCGGCACGGGTGATAACTATGGAAACTGCCGGAAGGGACTCATCCCAAAAGCGACCCTGGAAGGGTGGATGTCCTCAATTGTCTGCGGAGACAATTGTAGAAGAAAGGCTATTTTTAATACTTGGATATGGCTCAAGTTCCTTTCAAGGGCAGGAAGAAAGTATTCAAAATAATATGGTTGACAGACTATGGCATTAAAAATAAAACAATTCCCTGAGCTTGGGCTCTCAGCCTCACACTTCGACTTTTTCCCACAAGTGTTACCTGTGATGGAGGAGCCGCATCGCTGAGCGTCTTCGAGAGCGCCTGTGGCCAGCCTGGGGGGTCTCTCCCGAAATGCTCGGGCAGTTGAAAGTCCCAGTCAGCATCCTGCTGCAGAAATGAAAATGCTTAACATGTAGAAAAACGAACAATGATGCCAAGAAAATCCTAGCAAGTGAAGGATAAGGAAATGGAGGGACTGTTTGTAAACTGGGAGGGGCTTAACTACTTGGAATGCTAGAATGAAGGAAGACAGGAGACAAGCTGGAGAGTGTTATCTAAAAGAATATTATCTAAAAGTAAAGAAGCGGCTGGAAGTGTCTGAGAACGTAGGGCGTGAAGACTGGAAAGGGGAGTAGTTAGGGAAGCAACTGGAAAATGCCCTAACTAAAAATACAACAAGAACCTAAAGGTCAATACCAGAAACCATGGTGGTGATGAGGTATTCCAAGAAGGTGAGAGACGTTTCAAAGAATGCCCAGAAAAAAGAAAGTGACACTTGATGTAATTAGAATCAGAAAGACATCAGAACTTTTAACAGCTACATTATAAGAAGAGAAAACATACAAGCAACATTTTTATAATTCTGGGAGAAAATATTTTCAACCTTGAATTCTACTGCCTACCTAAGCTTTTCATTCTGTGTGAGCATGGACTCAGCTAAGCAAGGCCCATGTGAGTGTGTTGTGTGCATGTGTGCACAAGTACGTGGGTGTGCTTGCCCTTCCTGGTGCACGTGGAAGACAGAAGCCTCAATCACTTCTTTACCTTATTTCTTATTTTTGACACAGGATCTTTCACTGTTTCTGGAACTACACACCCGGGGTAAAACTGGCTGTTTGTGGTAGACTATCAGGATCTTTCACTGTTTCTGGAACTACACACCCGGGGTAAAACTGGCTGTTTGTGGTAGACTATCTGGCCAGCAAGCCCTCAGACCCACAGAACTCTGTCCCCTATACCTGCGGTTGTAGAGCCATGTCACCTTGCTCAACTTCTCCCTGAGTTCTGGGGATTTGAACTCGGGGAATGCTCACACAGCAAACACGGTAGCAGCCGAACCACCTCCCAAACCTCGGTGTTCTTTATTTCTTCTTTGAACCCTGAAACAGGGAGAGCCTGTAAAATTAAGTATCTGACCCAGGAAACAAGGAGCGTGGATACTCATGAAATGTGCTCACAAGTCCACGCTGAAGAAAGACAGAACTGTCGCTGAGAAGCAGCCAGTTCACAGAGAGTTACAGACAAGTTGGACTTGTCTATCAAAGGTCAGCATCCCTTAGTCCAAGACACTTGGTGCTCTTGCAGAGAACCAGGGTTTGGTTCCCAGCACCCACACAGTGGCTCACAGCCTTTGCGGCTCCAGTTCCAGGGGATGGGATGCCCTCTTCTGGCTCCTGCAGGCACCTGGCACACACGTGGTACACAGACATGTATGCATCCAAAAGACCCGGATACATCTTTGAAAATCAAAGAGTTAGAAGGTTTTAAAAATAAATGGCATTATAACGTCCCACAGAAAGGAAAAGTTCTGGAGTGTTGGGATGAGGGGTGTTCAGTTCTTATATTTCTTCTGTCGCTGTTTTCATGTATCTATGGAGTAACAATGAAATTAAGTAAAGAAAAATAATATTCAATATCAGTCTTGATGCAACTTAAGCAGCTTGATTTCAAACTCCTCATATTGGTGAGCACTTTGGGAGGTGAAGCAGGGACATAGTCCCACACTCTATAGGTCGCCTAGAAGGTACAGAGCAGGTGACTGGGTGTAGAACAGAGAGGTAGGTGTGGTCTGTGGCTTGTATGTGCTGGCTGCTGCCACCGCAGTCTCTCATCCACGTGGGGGGACAGGATGTGACAAACTGGCTGAGGAGGTCAGTGGGACAGCGTGAGAACCTGGCAGTGCTAGGTGACTGCTCCACTGCCTGGGGTGTACAAAAAGCAGCCAGTAGCACGCATTCTGTCTTATCTAGAAAGGCATGCAGCAGGAAATGCCTGTGAAGGGTGAGAGATCCACGGGCGGCGCGGAGCCTGTCCTAGCACGGCAGGATGGAGATGGCTGCCAGCGCAGGCTGCTGGCTCTACACGGAGAAGCCTGCCTCTTCTGTGATGGGCTTCAGGCTCCCAGCCTGGCAGCTGGTGCTTCCTGCCTCTGCTTCCTGACTTGTTTGTGCCTGTGAGCTCAGGCTAGCACCTCCCCGCTTTTTCTTGGCACTACTGGTTGTCACCCCCTGCTAGGTGGCCACCTCCTAAGGCTTCTGCCCTGGGGGAAACTGCTCTGGTATCCACCCCTCATCCTGGCTGTCACTGAAAGTGAGTTCACTTCCTGCGGGTCCTGCCAGAGCTCAGATAACCAGCCCAGCAGCCAGAGTCCCAGGCTTCACTTTCTGCAAGACTGAACCCTGAAACATTGCAAGAAACAGCAGGAAAAGCAAATGGTTCTAAATGCAGAGGTTTCTGGAGGACATGAAGTCACACGTTAGCCGTCCAAGGATTGTTTGGGGCACAGTTTGGTTTAAAAACATGTTTAAAAGAGCAAGCGTGTGGTCTTAAGAGGAAAGATGAAATAAATTGTCTATGATATATGATTTATCTGTGTAAGATTTTTAAAAAGATAACTGGAAAGAAAAAAACAAAAATATTAAAAGCAACAACTGGGGTCCAGAGACTTCCCACTCACCCTCTTTTCTCCTTCCTCATCCCTTCCACCCAGCATCCCTCCATCTTTTCCTTTTTCTTTCCTGAAGGATATGGAATGTCTGTTATGTTGCTAAGAAAAAATATAAAACAGACAAATAAGCTGGACACGGTGCCTCACGCCTGTGCTCCCAGCACTTGGGTTGCTGGCCTGGACATACAGAGACCCTGTCTCAGATGAAAGATAAATGATGCCCTTAAGCTTAATACCACACTAGGTACGTTTAGACTTCAGAACGCTCAGGCAGGGGAGCGTGTTTATTCGTTTAGTTTTCTGGAGCCAGCATCAGATTCCGTGACAAGCTACCTTACGATGACTTTCTGATTTTAACCTTTGGTAAATACACCAGCACCGGAGGACAAAACATTGTGTTCTTTTCTCTCATCACCTGGAGCAGGCGCCTCCCAAAGACAGGAACCATTTGGACAAGTGTAGTTGCCTCCTTCCTGACTTAGGGCCTCATGAAGTTGCTCTTGAGTTTGGCGTTTGTGACACAGAGTTGTCTAGTGGGCAATATTGGGAAGAACGGACTGCAATGGCCAATTGCACAGCATGATCGGGATAAAACGTGACCCACTCACTGGGGTGCCCAGGCCCTTGTCATGTGTCTCAGCTGCACTTCTTTAACCAGGGTCTGTGGAGACTCCAGAGCACAGGGAGTAGATAGGGTATCATACATGTAGATATTCTCTGTGAGTCAATGCACAAGGAATGACCATCAACCCCCACACTCACAGAAACTTGGTCCCACCAAAGTTGAGTCTCAGGGCATCTCAGTCTGTCAGAACAGGCTGCTATTGAAACTCTGGGGCTTTGCCGCTATGGATTGCATAGGAAGAGTCAGGAATCAACACATGCATCTTTCGTTCACATCTGGGGGGTGGTCAACTGTCTTAACTACCAAACAGCTTCTCAGAGAGTATGCATCGTGGTAGAGGGTCTGCCTAGCATGCTCACAGGCCTGGGCTCAATCCCCAGCAAAAGTTAGGACAGATTTGCAGTATGGTAAATCATACCATGTAACTACTACATTGGAAGAATTCTCTTTTCTCTGTTCTAAAAACAATTATTGTGTGTGTGTGTGTGTGTGTGTGTGTGTGTGTGTGTGTGTTTGTAACTCATGTGCAGAGGTCAGAGGACAACTTGTAGGCATTGGTTTTTTTCTTCTACTGTGTGGGTCGCAGGCACAGAACTCAAGTTGGTCATGGTTAGCAGTAAGTGCTTCGAAACACTAGGCATCTGATAACCTGAAAGCATCTTCTCAAAATTACAGTTTCAAATTCAGAATCTTAATCGCCATCACTGTGTCTCGATAAGGAAACATTTTCTTCTTTAAAAAACTTGTAGGAAGTTCTCTTACTCTAGCAGAAGACTCCCCGTACCCCCAGTCTCCCGAGGTCAGAGTGGCACATCCCACCTCCAAGCCCCCTTGTTTGGTCAAGTAGAAGCCCTGAATTGTGCGGTATACCTGGAATATTAAATATCTCACTGCCCTGAGGCCTTTACTCCCACTGTCCTCTGCTAGAAGATTCTCCCACCAATCCCTGCACATCTTCCGGTTACATCTCCGCTCTTGGTTCTGATAGTACCTCTTTAAGAGACCTTCGGTGAGTGTCATCACCATACCCTGGCATTCCACCTGCCTCCAACCCCACCCCTGCTTCTCTCCTGTCCAGTGCTTACTATTTCCTATTATTATAGGACAAGTATTTATTGTCTACCTTAATTGTCATCCTTGAGCAATGGAGTAGACACACACACACAACAACAGCAACACACAAGACACACACGAGAGGGTATCAAATAAGGCAGAGAAACATGAAAGTCTCTAGGATGGCAGTCACTTAGGGACCACAGCCCATAATTTCCAAATCCAAATACCTCCTGAGTTCCACCCTCTTTTGCTGGAGGGCCTGAGGGAGGCCTGGAGACAGCATGCGGGGCTGTCTCAGCCAAGGGGACAATCTGGTCAGGATATCCCAGGCTCTTGTTAGGGTTTGGATCTCATGGCTGGACTGTGTGACATTATCTAGGGCTTGTATCTAAACTAAATGGGAACAGAGACACGGAGAGAGAGAGAGAGAGAGAGAGAGAGAGAGAGAGAGAGAGAGAGAGAGAGAGAGAGAGAGAGAGAGAGAGAGAGGGAGAGAGAGTTCTACATAGAGTATGGGAAACGACAGGAGGAGGCTGCTGTTGATTGCCAGTTGCAAACGGTTTTAGCCAGGATCTTTTACACTCTCTGGTTGCTTTAGCAAATGGTCAGAGCATAACTAGCAGCCTTCTAGGAACCTCCTTTTATAGGTCAAAAGAGAGAGTAAACCAGACTCCCCCATAAAAACTTACGAGGACTG